GTCAATCACCAGTTTTTATTGCAGCCACATTCATGGAACAGGGAGGTATTCCGCCTACAACCAATCCTGCAACTCTTTTGAAGGAAGCCATACATGTTATTAGCTGTGGATATGAAGACAAGAGTGAATGGGGAAAAGAGGTAAGTATAGCAATTTAGGTCCTAGCAGCCCTTGTTCCAAAATACTTATTGAATGAACTTGTGATTTTAGATCCACAATAATTGACATTTTGTTTGTCACCAGATTGGATGGATCTATGGCTCTGTGACTGAAGATATTTTAACTGGGTTTAAGATGCATGCTCGTGGTTGGATATCAGTCTATTGCATGCCTCCACGCCCAGCATTTAAGGGTTCTGCTCCCATCAATCTTTCTGATCGTTTGAACCAAGTGCTTCGATGGGCCTTGGGTTCCATTGAAATTCTGCTCAGCAGGCATTGTCCCATATGGTATGGCTACAATGGCAAGTTGAAGCTTTTAGAGAGACTTGCATACATCAATACCATTGTTTACCCCCTCACATCTATACCACTGATTGCATACTGTTTGCTTCCTGCCTTTTGCCTTCTCACAGAAAAGTTTATCATTCCTGAGGTAAGTACTGGTTCTGTGTCGATCTTACTTAAAACATACCAAAAAAAAAAAAATATACACTAATTCTGCAACTTTTGGAAGAATTCATTAAGATGATTCTTTAGGATTTTCACACTCCAGATCATCATTCTGGGCAGCCACTAAATTTGTTGAATGTTTATGCAGATAAGTAACTTCGCTAGCATGTGGTTCATTCTGCTCTTTGTTTCTATTATTGCAACTGGTATTCTTGAGCTAAGGTGGAGTGGAGTCAGTATTGAAGACTGGTGGAGAAACGAACAGTTCTGGATCATTGGTGGAACATCAGCTCATCTCTTCGCCGTCTTCCAAGGTCTCCTGAAAGTTCTTGCTGGGATTGATACCAACTTCACTGTGACGTCAAAGGCATCTGATGAGGATGGGGATTTTGCTGAGCTCTACGTGTTCAAATGGACATCACTTCTCATCCCTCCAACCACGGTTCTTCTTGTGAACATGGTAGGTATCGTGGCCGGTGTTTCATATGCCATAAATAGCGGTTACCAATCTTGGGGTCCACTCTTCGGCAAACTGTTTTTCGCCCTATGGGTCGTAGCACATCTGTATCCATTCTTGAAGGGTCTGTTGGGTCGGCAAAATCGCACCCCTACAATCGTCATCGTGTGGTCTATTCTTCTTGCATCAATATTTTCCTTGCTGTGGGTGCGCATCGACCCATTCACTTCGGACAAAACAACTGCTGCATCAAACGGTCAATGTGGCATCAACTGTTAGTTCATTTCAAATGCAATAATATTGTGGAACCGGCATCTCTCTACACCATCGGTGTGTATATACAAGAAATCAAGTAAATCGTCGACTGAACTTGTACACAGGGTCTCCACATCCAAAAGGGAGTCGGGTGGAAGAAAAACGAGAGAACGCCTTGTGTATAGTTCTTATTGTCCCGTTGTCTAGTATTTATTGTTCGCTACTGAAGTATGTTTTCCTGAACTTTGATGATCTTAGCCATTGTTTGTTGTGCAGTATTGTTGTTATGGTTGTTGTCAAGGACTCGAGGGGAGGATGTAGAAAGCAATTTATTTCAGTAATTGGTCTGTTTTTAAAGGACAAGCTTTGTTTTGGTCGATGTAAGCATTACAATTGAAATACTGATTCTTTCATTAAACAAGCCTATGTTACTAAGTTCATGTAGGTTGAACACAATTTCTATGCGGCCACTTTTTGTTGCAAACATATTCACAATCGCATGACTGATACCCTGATGAAGCACGGAGAAAAACTTGGGTAGTGCAACTTGACAAGCTAGATGACTAGCACTCCTCCGGCAAACGGATCCAAGTGCACTTGGGTACCAACTTTTAATGCACGTGGACTCATCTTTTGTAAGAGTGATTTGATTAGCTGGTTGATTAGGTTATCTTATTCAAGTTTTTCTTGATCATATCATATTACCACCACTAAGGTAGCGAAGTACATCATGCTAAAACAAGGCCACATTTGTGAGAGCTAATGTGCTCCCTTATGTATCGAATTTGAATCTTCCTTTACGTAATTTAGATTAGTACACTAAGTTGAACACCACCTGTAGAAGTAAAAATAATAAATTGGGAGGGCAAATATATCATTTCGGTAAGATGAGTTGTAAAACGGCGTATTGACTTGTAGAGCCAGTGGGACAGGACTGGAGCACTTCTTCAAACCCCCTCGAGCCTTCGGTAGTCCAGGGTTAATAGATTTCAGAGAGATTTCGGAGACACCGTGAGGAATTAGGGTTTTTCTTCTCCCCCTCTGCAGAGCCAAACAAGAAGAAGAAGAAGAAGAAGCAATGGAGGGTCTGGCAGAAGAAGTGAACAACTTGCAAATTACAGACGCATCATACAACAAGAACAATAAGAATCGCATCCAAGTCTCCAACACCAAAAAGCCCGTCTTCTTCTACGTCAGCCTCGCCAAGGTAACAAAACCCCCTTTTCTCCTTGTTCATCTGTTTCGCTGTCGATTTTTTGGTGGCTGCAGAGTTTTGTTGATTTCATCTTGTACTCATGTTTATTCTTAGTTACAGTAGTGTGTGTGTGTGTGTTTTGAGTGACTCAGTGGTTTTCAATTTGGTATTTGTAGAGGTACATGCAGCAGAACAACGAGGTGGAGCTCTCCGCTCTCGGAATGGGTACTGTTTCATTACATTAGCCCTCGCTTTTTTTTCTTTTCGGTAATTCAGTAAGGTTATTATTGTGTTGTCGATGCTTTTATGTCTTCATTTTGATTATCGTCTCTCCTGTCACAAGTGCGCTTATGGATTAGAACTGTAATGCTGCCTAGGTATTGGCTTGTCCATAATCATTCCTCGACTGTGTCAAATCGTTCATTATATTTGTTGTTATTGAAGTGGAAAATTTGTATCTTTTGTGTACTAAGGATTCATAATTTGCTTGTATATCTACAGCTATTGCCACAGTGGTTACCATTGCTGAGATTCTGAAGAACAATGGATTGGCCGTTGAGAAGAGTACGGTTCTTGTGCCTTTCTGATAGTCCTTTTTTTGTGTAGTAATTGCTCCTCATATATATTTCAACTTGCTGTTGTATGCAACACATACAGGAATCAAGACTTCGACAATTAACATGAGGGAGGATGCAGGTGGGCGGCCAATTCAAAAGGCAAAGGTAAAATGCACCAAGGATAGGGGATTCTAGAAACATTGTTAGATGTTAGCAACTAAACTTATATGTAAACAAGGAAGATGGGCAAACATAATTTTGATGGTTTGAAAGAAAAGGAGCTCCATATTAATAAAGTACTGCTTGTTCTCGTAAATGGGGCACCGTAGTTTTCATAGTTTGCTTGTTTCTGGAATTTAACCAACTACTGGCGCGTGCACGATGGTCTGTCCATTCTTCGGGGCATGGACATGGTGTTGGAATATTAGATGCTTATGCGTATGAGGTGAGGACTTAGATGTCAGCTCCTTAGCTATCCGACTCTCTAGATAATTGATCTCATTAATGGAATTGTCAGACCTTCAAAGCAAAGTGTTGGCTTAGTTCTTTCTGATCGTAAAATATGTTCTCTGCTCCTCCTTTTACATGTGAAGTGCTTGTTTAACCTGCGTTTGTTCTATAAGTTGTTTGTGAGTAATTTATGAGTTTAAGAGTTGGTTTAATCATTCTGCTCTATGATTTTCTCAGTTTCTAATTTGACCTTACAATGCATTACATTACTTGGATTTATTCATTTACTTCTCTAATTTTGTCTTGGAGGCTGATGGTATCATGTGATTCCTTGTTATTTAGATTGAAATACTGCTCGGAAAATCAGAGAAGTTCGACGAGATAATGGCTGCTGATGCTGCTGCTGCCGCCAAGGAAGGCATCGAGTATGAGCAGAGTTGAAACATATATCTGATGTCTGACTTTTGTTCTTAGATTCGTCTCTCTAGTGGTGTTTATTTAGCTGCGATAAAATTTCTTTCAGGAATTGTAGTAGAATACCGCTATTTCTGCTACCAGAAGATTCAAATTGTTCCTAGGTTCATTGTTTAAGCCGGCATTTGTGTTAGAATGTTGTGAATTTGAAATGCTCTTCTAGTAGACCAATGGCATTCCTTCTGCTCGACCTCTAGAATGCGTGTGAATCAGGTGTTTTTATTGCTTCTTTCTGCTGGTTGTTGGCACGTGAACCCTAAAGTGAAATTATTGGTTACCCCACACCGCTCTCATCGTTACCTGTTGTTGTCTCCCTTGTGTCTATTTCTAAAACGAGTCTCATCGTTACCTGTTGTTGTCTCCCTTGTGTCTATTTCTAAAATGAGTCACGTGACGAGAGACATATTTCTAAAATGAGTTACGTGACGAGAGACGTAAGGGAGATACAACTGTGATAGCCGCCGAGATTTCCCTCATTGTGGGGTCACCTTTGCATGTTCAACAAATTAGAAAGGTGAGTTAGACGGAGAACAAGTACAGGCCTATTGGAATTGGATGTGCAATTGTGTACCCTTATTAAGTAGTTGTGGGCAGCCAGCCTTCATAGAATCAGAGAGAAACAGAGAGAAATCAAAAGGCTCAAAAGTTGAAGGTGTGCATTAACTAAGCAGTGTCCGCAGCAAAAGATTATTGTCCGGAACTATGCCACATGATATAATTAATTCGCATGTTACAATACAACTGAGGAGTTTATGCTTAAGACTATTGCCGTACCATGCAATAATTTCTTGTCACATACACCCAATTAGTAGTGGCATTTCGGCAGTGTACGTCGACAATGGCGACACGAGCTGACATGCAAGGACAAGGATAGCCAAGGGAATTGCTGGTAAATTCTCCAAAGCAACAAATAAAGGGCACCCTACAAAGAAAGGCACGCGTACAATGTGTACACCCTTGGAGCCGCATGTAACATATCAAGCCAACAGTAATCTGCTTGCTCAGTTAAAATGCCATTTAAATTAATCCTCAAAAACATCAAGTCTAACCTCTTGAAAGACAAGGCTCCCCTCAACTCAGTTGCAAAATGTGAAGGAACGAAAAAAATAAATATCCAGCAATCAAAGAAAGAAAATGGGCAAGTAAACCTGTGTCGGAGATAAGTTATCCCGTGTCCTTACCACTGCCAGGACCGATATGTAATATTAATTTATTTCTCAGGAAAGTATTCTACTCTTCCTCTTTTTCCTCTACCAGTATCCGCTTGCATGCTTCGTAGCACATAAAAGAAATCCCTGCCGCAGGCACCAACTTCATGCAGCTCGGGCCTAGCCCAGTGTATAAACCCTCAACCCCCTTCTTCTCAAGTATACTGGTGAGGGCGTGAAGCACATTTCTATATTGGATTCCACTCACGGCTCCCGCCTGCATGTGCTTGCGTGCCACCTCGAGTGGGAATGTTGCAGTACTTGAAATAGCACCAGCTACTGATCCAATTAAAAGGGTTTCAATGTTGCCGATCTTCTCCTGCTTGAGAAACTTGCGATAGGCTTTCCGTAATGTATCATAAGCATAGTAATTGGCAGGCAGCATATGGAATTACTCCAATAAGACTAGGGGCAAGACCTCTGTAGAGCTCTGCCGGTCCCTCTTCTCGCGCTATTTTTAAGAATGCATCCAGAAGGCCATCATAAGCGTCTCTCTGCAAATATAATGACATCATTATGTGATTGCTACGGCCATACTTGAGATAGGCACACACTTCTGCTAATCCTTACATACCTGAATGGTTAGCCGCGTCTTAATTAACTCAAGAGGGTATGTGCAAATTGTTGAACTCACTCCAGCACAAGCACCTGCAATTAACGAGGCAGGAATTGGAAGTTTGGGCTGCTCTCCAGGTTTTGGTGACAGTTGCTTGTTAACCGTATCATAAGCAAACAGCTGAAAAAAAAAAAAATATATAGCAGAAATTCAAATACAAAACCAATTAAACATGCAGAATTGAAATCTTTAAATCTTTGTAATGAAAATCATATTCATGCAGGGAAGTTCCAATTGATTTTCTCGCCAAATTTGAGTTACACACAATACAACAGCTATAGTACACTGAACAGGTGCCTTAAATCCTCTTTATTTGTTTGTAGACACTAAACAAATGCTTTCTTGGCCACACAGAAAAACAGACTAGGCCAGTTGAAACAAGGTATATCAAAAGGAAGGTGCCTTCTGCACGAAGCAAGATCGGCCACCTCCTTTTAATATTATAGTGCCTCTCCTCAATGATCAAAGATGATATAACTAAAAAAGGGTACAAAATGGAGAACTGATTAGCACGTTAAATCAACAATTTGCCCCAGCATTTCCCATTCTATAACTACTGAAGAGCACCATGCAACGAATTCAATTTCTCCAATTCACACAAGGTTCCTCCTTGAAGTTCTGCATAAAGTAGTTTACCATATCTTGCAGATCATTTGACTAGAATGAAAAGCACAAACACGTGCAACTAAAAGCTACATCGTACCACATGATTGACGGTGAGAAAACAAAACTGAAAAAAGACCTGTGATCTCATAGAAAAAACATCTTGATATCTTGTGGAACCCAAAGACCAAGCTTTTCGGATTAAATCAGAAATGTTCTCAATTATTAATTTCACAGACTGCTCAACGCGTATGGGACGCCGCCCTTGATATGTTCAGAGAAACTAAATGCCACATGAAAAAGTATGAAACTTGACTTGCTCCTAGTTTCAACAAACAAAGGGAAACCAGCAGAACCCATATTACATCAAAAAGAACTTGACACTAATACATTAATTACACCTAACACAGAACAAGCCAAATCACCGACAAGATAAGCACATAACAGTAAATATGAAGCAAGTTGAAGATATCAGACATGTCATTCACCTAAAACAAGTTAATACGAAAGAATTCTTCCTACCTCTATCGCCTTGCTCGGTGCAACCCGAATCACATTGACTAGATTTCCCCTAAACAACCCCTTCCACCCATCAATCTTCATTATATCATTGAAGACGTCAGTAGTAGATCTCCCACAACTCCCAACCATCAAATGAGTCCTTATCGTCTCCAATGGTGCCACAGCCGTCCGTGAAATTGCCCCGGCTATTGCACCACTTATTAGCCTCCTCACTGAAGGGTTAGCAATCTTAACCTTCAATTTCAGACCGCCCTTCTTATTCTTCACCACCCCTTTCTCTTCCCCCACCCCAAAATTCTTAATCCCCTCCACATACTTCATGTACTGCTCGGCATACGGAAGCTTCACGGCCCCGCCATCACGGCGTGGATTGGGAGGGTCCGGCGAGACCCCGAAGCCCATCCCCACTTGGCTAACGCTTGCAAATAAGCCTCCGGGATGGTAACCCTCCTCTTCGGGACTCCATTGAAATCCCAAATTTCCCAAATTGCAAACAGAGAGAAACCCATCACTCTTATCATCGAAAACTTGGAATTGCTTCCTCCCCATTGATCAAAACCTAATGTAAAACGCTTTCTTCTATGGTTTAGTGACAGACACTCGCATTATTTGCCACGGTTTCAAGCCGATTCACAGTGCTTGAGAGACAAAGATTCGACTTTTGGCAAATGGGTAATCGAATAATCCATTTTTATTAGATGACTGAGAGGAACAAACAGCAGATAATGGAAAAAAATTGCGGATACGGAATTTGGGTTTTGTTTTGATTCGGAAAAGGAGGCGATAAAAACGAAAGGGGGAGGAGGAGTGAGAGAGGAAGAGAAAAATAAGGGGGGGGAGAGAGAGAGAGCGAGAGCGTGAGAAGAGGTAGGTGGGAATTGGATTCTCTCTCTGCTTCTCTCACACACAGTCGCAGCCCCCTCTCTCTATTTCTGTGTGGGGAATAGGAATGGTTTGGTGGGGTGGTGGCTCTTGAGGTGGGTGATGGGGAAGGGGAAACAGTATAGGGAGTTAGGTTTTGCGTCCGGGTTTGCAAAGCTACTTCTCTCACTTGTGTAAGCAAAAGGTCGCGTTTGGGTCGCTCCAGGATTCACTCATTTTTTTTATTTTTTTGGTTTATTAAAAAAGATAAATACTAAGCAAATTCAGTTAGATTAAAACTCTATCACTTCCCTTACAAAAAAAAAAAAAAAACTCTATCACTTTACAATTTAACGTCAATCCATCTACAAATATTATAAAACGCGTAAAAAATATGAGATGTCAGAAAATTCATATAGTGTCACACTTTTTAGAAAATCTACCTAACATTTCTCTTTTATAAATAGGCATGATTTGTAGAATTTTTATAATTATAAAATACTTTTGCTCATAATCATTTTTTTTTTTTTTTACTAAAATCATTTTCATTAAAATAGTTATCAAATTTTATTAGAAAACCTGTTTTCTAAAAGAGCACTAAGAAGTGCTACTTGAAAAAGCTTCTAGCATGTGCTTTTTCGAAAATCCAGTACTATAAACCACTTTTGACTTTTGAGGTTTTCGTAGATTTACACCTAAAATTGTTTCACTTTTTCAAAATTCACCATGACCTTTTATTTCAGTCAAATTACACCTTCATCAGTTACTTTCTCACTGTTCTATTACTCAATAATTTTTTTGTTGACGAATTCTATCAGTCTTTTTTTATAACAACTCATCTAAGTGCAGAATAATCACATTTTTACCCTATTAAGCGGTTTAATTGTTGTCCAAGTGACTGTGGACAGGGACGAAACCATAAATTTAACTAAGAGGGGGCACCTTAAAAAATTTGTGCTCCTTTTTTGGACAAATAAAGCTAGTTCTTTTACAAATGCTGAAAAAATTAATTTCCAAATGCCTAATTTTATTACTCTATTGTTTAATTTTGTCTTTAATTGTTGACAATCTAATGCTCATTTGTACTAATTAACCCAATACATGCAACTCAACAATGTTTAGACATTAGTGTGAGAGAAAAATATACAAGACGGATGCACATTTAAAAACTAAAAGAGGATTTTCACTATTTTAATATGATTAATTGAATAATTTGCAAAGTGAAAAAAAAGGGAATGATTGATTGAATAATTTGTAATGCAAAAAAAAAAGGGATGAGAGGGGGCGTGTGCCCCCACTGGGCTTTACCTCCCTCCGTCCATCGATGTGGAGGGAAGAATGAGTGAAATTATGAAAAATTTGATGATGGTATGGTAATTGGATATTTATAAGAGTTTAACGGGATGATTGGCTAAAATAAAAATCCATGGTAAAAATGAACATGACTTACAAGTTTATGGAGTAAATAGGCGAAAATGTCTAAGTTTATCAAGCATACACAGTCAAAATGTATTTTGGTCATTAGAAAGCGATTTCATCCTTACCAAAAGCAATCCCAAGTGATTTTAGTGTCCTATCCCTACCTAACAATTCTACCAACCCAATTCACCCCACATGAGAAGGACTTACATCCTCCAGATGATATCGTGGCATTCCAAATTAATCACACCACCACATATTTTCAAGTTTCAAACATAGCATGACATGATTGGTTTGTAATATTTTTACCGTAACTTCTTAGTTTGATATAAGATCTTCCTCACTCACACACTTAACCGCACTTGACTATGAGTGTTGTGAATTGATTTCAAATGTACATGGATTAAGTTTTTCTCATATATAAAATTTTGAATCCGAATCTCCCCTTTTCGTTGCCAAACCAACATGTCATAAACCTACTTCTTGATGCCCGATGAACCAGTGGAACTAAACCGACATTGAATTGTTTGGTTCTCATCAGCTTGTTAACCAGAATATGTGATCACCCAATTTGAATCGAACTATTTGATAGTGATCCGTTTAGATGACGGATTGATTTTTGATTTTGACATAATTAATTGAAGGAAAAAAGTGAGACAGAAGTTAAGAGAATTAAGTAATAAGAAAAAAAAAATTGACTATAATTATGAATTATACTAATTGCTATAGGGAAGTGTTATTGGCACTCCAAAAATCTCATTCTACACTCCTTACATGTGTATTTTTCTTTCCTAATATATAAAGTTTGGAGTGAAGAATGAGATATTTTGGAGTGCTAATAACAATTCTCTTGCTATATTTGGTTTTTTCAAAAACCTGCACAAACTTGGATGCAAAATCGGAATATTGACAAGCATTCTATAGGAACACCAGGTAGCTTTAATGGTGATTTTTGCTACACTTTCTGAGCAATCTCATTTCTTTCAGCATATATCACCGATCACTTGAAACTTTACAAAACCTAAATTAAAAATAAAAATTGTGTTTGTGTGAAGGATATGACGAGAAAAGATTGAAACAATAAAAAAACAAGGTCGTTTCGAGTTGTTTACATGAGGAGTTTGATGGTGGGAGAGAGCTTCAAACTCTTGATTTAACCCTTTTTAATGTTTCTCCACAACAATGTATATCTTCACTCCATAAATTTATATTTAAAACTGCAATTTGATTTAAATATGGCCATAGTTTAGAGCTGCCAAATAGAGGAGCAAGTGAAGAGAGAACCAGAACTACAAGTTGTCCCACATCGGCTACAAACAGCTAAATACAAAGCTTTATATACCTTGAGCAAAGAGCGCCAGTCGCCGAGCTTACTAACGCGAGCTTATAACCCAAGTGGGGGCATCAGGGTGTTGGAACGCTGGTCTGGTCTCAGCGGGTCGGCTCTGTCGTGGCTCTATTCTGGCCCGCCCGTTCCAAGCCGAGAGTTGAGCCGTGTGGTTTGGGCGTAGGCTCGGGCTTCACGGTTCCTAAAGCGGAGGGCACTGCGTAAGGCTGGCTTCACAGAGCAACGATCACCACCCGCTCTTGGCAGTGGAAGGATAACAGGTCGGTGCCATCCGGATCCATCATGGCCCGCTGGACCACTCCAATTTGAACCAACACTTTTTTATTTACACCTCTGTTTTAATTCGAAAGCTTTTGTGGCATATACAAAAGTCCCAAATCATCTGCCTCATATGAACATCTGTGCGCGCGCGCGTATATATATATATACAGGGATACAGAAGAGTTCAAAACTTAAATTGATAGTTATCAACATTTAGATGAGATTGATTTGATTGTATCGATCTAATTAGTCGACCGGCGTGTTGGTCTCGTCTCCTCCAGAAGCAAAATCCTAGTATTTTAGTGTCCTAACCCAACACATACTTACCGACACCCCCAACACATTACATGTTTTATGTTTGTCTTTTGGACAATGTACCATGATTGGTTTGGGCACTGCAACCTTTTGTTCATATTTGAAAATTTAGGATCCGAATCTCTGCTTTCGTTTCCAAACCAATACGTCATGGCTTTGTTTTTGGAAGTTCGAAGAACCAGATAACCAAACCGCAGCAGTTGCATTTCTCTCCAACTTGTTTTCCTTGTCGTGTCTATCATCTAGAATGCCAGGTAGTTCTCATGGTGTTTTCTTTTTCGTAACACTGACTAATCTTATTATTTTAGGTTCTTGCTGGAACTTTAATCCATATACATCACTGATCACTTGAAATTTCACCCTTAAATAAAAAGAAATGGAAAGATAATTGTGTGAGAATATGCAGAACCTAAACTTTAGGAACACCACCTGTTTTTTTTGGGAGTTTTGATTGTCGATTCATCCCTTTTTTTAATGTTTGTCCACAACAATGTAAATCTCAACTCCCGAAGTTGCGCGATTGAGAAAATACAATTTGATTAAATGTAGCCAAAATTTTGAGTTGCCAAAGTACAAGTTAAGAGAGAAGAACAACAACTACAACTTGTCCACATCGACAATCAGCAGCTATAAACAACGCTTTATATATCATGCACAAGCCGCATATACAGTCGGGCTTGGCAACGCAAGCTTGTTGCCCGAGTGGGACATTAAGGTGTTGGGACGCTGGTTCAGTCTCAAGCTGGTCGGGTCCGTTGTGGTTCTTTTCTGGCCCGCCCATTCTGGGAGTTGGGCCGTGGAGCTTGGGCGAAGGCCCGGGCTTCCAGGTTCCTAGAATGGAGGGCACCGCGTAAGGCTGGCTTCACAGATCAACGATGACCTCCCGTTCTTGGCGGTGGAAGGATAACTGGTCGGTGCCACTCGGATCCATCATGGCCCGCCAGGCAGTCCCAATTGAACCAACACGTTTTCTTATGCTATTTCCAACTTCTTTTAGAGTCTCTGAGTGCCCAATATTTTATAACCGGTTTTTTTTATTTTTTATTTGAACAAATGATATTATCTATATTAAAGAGGTTATGCTAAGCTTCACAATGATCTAGCAATCAAGTGGTTAAAATTCGTCTATGACGATAATCGAGCATAAGAGAGATCTCACTTACAAAGTGAAGACATACCTAGTATTAAGTGACAATATTTTTTTTTTTTTTTTTTCAAATGAAGGATTTCGAAATTTGAGTGCATAGTGGTATGTATATGTGGTTAAAAATAAGCAAATTTAATTATAAACTTTGTAACTTACACACAAAAAACGGATTAAGAATATTCTTAGAGACTTTGTTCCGGCTTAAGTGGCCTGGCACAATTTCAACTTCGTCCAATGGTAGCGCGGAATTTGTATCAAAGATTACCATTTATCTTATTTTTGTTTGACGGAAAAACTTGAAACATATTGTCTTGTGTTGGCTTGCGGACTCAAATTCAATTTTTCGTGCATCAACTATTTGACAAAAATGTAGATGAATACGAATTATAGGGTACATTCTATATTTTGACAAAGCGATAATTTAAACTACTCTAATCTATGGAGGAATTAGGTCAGTGTACTAGGTCATATATGATAATGTCTATCCCAGGTTGTTCCAAACTTTGGACATTGAAATCCCTTGCTTTTGTGTGCACAATGAGGAAGGGAGGCCTGGAGAAAACAGTAGGATTGGAAACGCAAACTTGATCTGGAAACCAAAAGAGATTGCTGCAATCTTTCATATGAGGGTGAGGATCTCCAAAGCATAATTGTATTAGTAGCTCCGGAAATCACTAAAGGATAGATTTTAATCAAATGGTCAAAAGTTGTATAACTACTACTTTGAATTTGTTGAATTCCAACCTGTGTAAACTGTCAGGACTAGATAATAGAAGTTGGTTAGATCAGTTAGTTAAGCCAGTGTGCTCACTGCACTCAAGTTCAAATTCTTTTTCTCGTAAATTAGAGTTGTTTAAAATATCGTTCTGTTAATTAAAAAAGAAAGTTTGACGGTATGCCGTAATTAGCGTGTTTGGTCACTTCATTCCTAAGCAATTCTTAATGAACTTTATTCGATCATGTTCATACACAGTGCCTAGTCAACCAAGGACCAAAGGTTTGGTTTGGTTTTTCTCTTCTATATACATGTCAACTAGTTCTTAGCCTAAGGTACATTGATCCCTTTTGAACGTTGAAAGAAATCTCAAGTTCAAATTTTTCATGCTTCTATTGATGAAAAAAGGGTACCAAAATAGTTCACAATTAAATGATTTATAAAGAAATTTGCGTTCACACACAGGACTGGTTGTTGGTACATTTCAGACTATCACCTCTACCAATTAATAGTCGGCATTTGCAAAAGCAAATTTGAATTAGTAATGTGCTTCTCACACGTTTTTTTTTTTTTTTTTTCCCTTTAAAAAGCAGCACACATTACTTTCATGTTTTGTCCAAAAAAACTATACTTTCATGTGATTTTTTTACTTTATGTCATGAGACTTCGTACCTAGCTCATACGTTCCGAGGTAGTCAATAACCTTTTCTGAACCCCACGACAGCTTTAAAAAGCTGAGAGGAATAAGGACTCACATGCACCCCTCGGGATGCCAATGACATTTTTGACATCCCGAGAGATGCATGCAAGTATCTTTACTCTAGAAGATATTGAACTGTTTGACTTGATTTTTCAACCTGCGAATAATCTCTACTCCTTCGCAGAACATTTTTTTAGCAGTTGAACATTTTGAAATCTAGAGAGAGAGAGAGAGAGAGAGAGAGAGGAGCTCCAATGCCTTTATATATAGCCATGCCCCAAAACGAATGTATATGTTTTCTAACTTAGTTGTGAACATGAGGCTCTTAGTCATGTTAATAGTGTTAAGCTTATTCTGCAGAGACGTAAGGCTAGTCTCTGGTGATATCGGCACTGCAACTTCCTACGGTCCTCCTTACATACGTGAGCAAACAACATATTAATCTCAACCCAATAAAGATAAAGATATCCAATATGTTATGTCGTCAGAGATTGTGAATTAGAACTACATACACATTCATTTATGATTTTAATTTACAGTTTGACAACATAACATGTCTAATACTTTGCTAAAAACATATATAGTTTAGGTTATATATGCTCTATTTCTTAACTGATCCATTATGAATGACAATTCATTTTCTTAATGCCATTGTAATTGTTGTGCAGCTACAAAGTGCTTTGGGAGTAGGCAAGACCAGTTCCCTCCGGGGAACCTGTTTGTGGCGGTGAGTGAAGGATTGTGGGACAATGGTGCTGCGTGTGGAAGGCGATATAGACTGAGGTGCCTGAGTGGACGTAATAAACCCTGCAAGGGTGGTGCTACGGTGGACGTGAAGGTGGTTGATCTTTGCAACAAATCACCTTGCCCTTCTACCGTAGCAATGTCAACTGATGCTTTTGCAGCGATCTCACACTCTCCTTCTACACGAATCAACGTCGAATATGTCCAGTAAATATCTCTACAAACTTTACACTCTCTTATAGTTCTACTATCATTTTCCTTATATCTACACACACACACACACACACACACACACTCTAATATATATGTCGATGGTTTGATCTTCAGGATATGAAATCAGCTGAACCAGATATATGATGACCACGTACAGCTGAGGATATTATCAATTATACTGGCTTTGTAGTTCATGTTGAACTCAAGTTTATAATGATAAGAGAAACATTGTAATATTAATTTGATACTACATTTTCTTAGTTTGTCCATTAGTCTTCAATAAAATGATATGCAGAGTTTTTTTTTTATCATACATCCACAATTCCACATCCCAATTAAAACAAAAATAACATTACTTATGTCACATTTACTAATCATAATGGAAACCACGCTCCCGATTAGTTTTTGTTCTATGCTTATAAAGGAAAATGATATCAACTCTTTTCGTACATATCCTTTTTTTTTTTTTCTTGGGGATGAGACTAGACTACACTCGAAGATGCAAAATCTAATACACGACATAGCCACAGATACTAGTAATACACCACATAATTAATGGAGATTGCTCTCTAGATCATCCAATTAATTTTGAATTGGATGATCTAGTTCTGTTCTACTCAATTATTTTGTAGCCCTTAAATGTGTTTCATTTAGCACCTAATCAACCATACTTATCCATCGTGCCCATGATAGTCACTATGCAGTATATTGACTTCCTTTCTTACATACAAGGGAGATGTCACGGTAATAATATTTCAAGTCAATTACGCATTATTATGTGTTATAACTTTTTATATAAACAGTGTATGATTACTTAAGATACATCCAAAGTAACATCCCTTGGAAGAAAGAAAGGAAAAGATTTGGCTAGTAGCTAAGGCTCTACTTGCATCCCCTGTCGTATCTGTGTAAACAGTTCGTTGCTTGTTTCTGGATTGATTTGTTTTCTCCACTTTGAGCCATGAGTGGGATGTATCTATTTTAGCCACATGCACCTTATCGAAATGGAACCTCCACTGAGTCAAAAGATAAAACAGTGGTCCTAAACAAAACGGAATGTGCATGGTTTTGTAGGCTTGTAGCCCTTTTTCAACAAGCCAGGCGTTTTATTAGTACTTAACAACTGTATCATAATTGATGAGTGGGGTGGTGTATTATCATGTCCACTACTGCAACTAAGAACTATCTGATCAATTTTACACATAGTTTTTGACATCTCTTCTTCTGGTATATGGCCACTAATTAGTCAACTTTTGGATGCATGCTACTTTTTCACGAATGCTTGAATTAATTATGTAATTTCACAAGTCTCGGTCCTCTTACTAAATGTATTCGATAATACACAAAATTTTCTTTCACACGATCCCAGCTTCCAAATATTCCTCATCATGCTCGTGTTGAGATCGGGCCAACTCAATGGTTGTACTTAAGATAGAAAGTAGAAAACCCTTGTTTCCAATATCATCCAAGGAAGGAACCCCTATTCACTACAAGAATCAAGCAGTTTTAACCATAATTTAAATAAACATGACTTTTAAGGTGAGTTGTGCTCATGCTTAGGCTCGACCCTTAAAAATCAAGTAGTTTTATGACACCCTGACTTTAGGCTCATCGATATTGCGTCGGGTCGGGTCAAACTAAACTGTTGTATATGAGATAGATAGTTGTGCCTCTTTAAATAAATTGTTTATTGTGTTCGTATTCTTTTATCCATGTATAATAGTATGATTTGATTTGGTTAGTAGTTATAATGAATTGGTATTCTTCATTGTCACTTCGTTTGAATGGCATATTCCTTTAGGAGTTATTCCTACTTGAAAAATACAGTAGCAAATGTTCTTCCTTGACCTTGTAATTTTGATATTGATCCCTAAGGGAAGAAGGATTACTCTATTAAAAGGAATGGGAAGTTTGAGCTAGACCGCACAATAGGTTAACTACTAAGTATTGAACTCAACACATATAATACCTTATCGTTATTTGTGTGATTGTATGAGTTAAATATGAAATTTTTCTTTATCAATAAAAAAAAAATAACATTAAACTGTAGTACTATTTGATAATGTCTATTCCTTATTTAGCCGCCAAACAATTATTAGAACCGAATAAAGGCTTGAGATTAACTTAAAGTCATCAGATTCAGAGAATCATGATTTCACCAATTGAAAAGATACAAAATGTGTTTATCGACTTCAAAGTAAGTTGCATGGTCAAAGAGTCAAAGATGATACCAACTGAAAGAGTGACAACCAAAATTTCATTTTCGCATCTACTTTATGTACACCTCATTCCTCATGCAAGCAAAACCAAGTGATTCTGATCAATTTCCCTTCTGCCTTGGTTTCTTGTGCCAGAGTTTTCAACGAATTTGTATTCACAAAATAGCGTGCATGTTAGAGACTAACAAATATTTTAAAATTAGTGACAACATAATTTTTACAAAGACAATATATATTTTGACACTAATTTACAAAAAAGAGAATTCAAATTTAGTTGTAATGAATTTGTTAAAAAAAAAAAAACTTAGTTGCAATGAATTCGTTAAAAAAACACTTAGTAGCAAGGAATTATTTCCACAAGCTATGTCCTTGTGTTCGCTAGTTTGTTTGTTTTGTTGAAGATTTGTAACTTTTTTTTGTTGAAACTATATTGTTATTATTATTCCAAAAATATCATTTACACTGCACCATTCACGTAGAAATCCTTCGCCGTGCTTAAAATTGCAGATAAGAAATAAAGAATGAAGAACCAACGTTTTTTGATATATAGTGTCAACTGTTGAGTAATGGCAAATTCAGACTCCGTAGGATTTCCTTTTTTTTTTTTTACCTGTAGGCCTGGCTTCGTATTAGTTCATACCGTAACGAGATAAAAATGAATGAAAAATCATAAAATGTACAGGAAGAAGCAACATTGATACAACAATTCTGCGGCTTAGTATGACGACTGCTACTGTATGTTCCGTGAAGATATACTTTCAAATTCTCGGCGTTGTTTCTGGAAATAAGGATGAGGACTATGGACTCCTCTAGATATACCGGTGTCTGCATTTCAATCAAGCGCAACACCTACACAGATAATTCATCCTCAGTGCACAGGAAGACCATACCTTTACGAGTGGAAGAGAGAAAGCAATCGGAAACTAGTGTACTAGAGAAACAGGACACCACTTACTGCTGGACGGAAAGCAAACATCTCTTCTTGACCAGATAGCCGGGATATTATACGGGTTGGGGCATCTCTCCAGAACTCACATTACCTTCTGCTACAACATCGCGGCGAAGTTTTAAACCTTCCTTCTCTGTTTTAAACTGGAAACTAAAAGCAACAATTATACATGCTTTCAATATCATATGTTTAAGAATTAGACCGAAATGTTACCAGCCATAACATTACGGACAAATAACCTTTAACAAAAGTGAACACTCACCTCTCCAAATCAAAAAGAGCACCCTCTTCGGTTCATTGAAATAATTCATCAATAGAAGATGCTGCCGAAAAAAATAGACGACAATGCAGCTGTGTTTCTCCTCCTACTCACTATCATACAAACGGTCTGCTCCATTATCTCTATTACTTGATCAATCAGCAGTAAGTGTCTCCTCTCTGTGTAGTCGTTTATCTTTTTGATCAACTCTCTCTGTATAGTCTTTCAGAAAACAATTCTCAACACGCCCCGCACGTGTAGCCAAGCAATTCTCAACACGCCCCTACACGTGTAGCCAATTTTATGTTTTTGATCAACTCTCTCTGTATAGTCTTTCAGAAAGCAATTCTCAACACGACCCCGCATGTGTAGCCAATTTTATCTTTTTGATCAACTCTCTCTGTATAGTCTTTCAGAAAGCAATTCTCAACACGCCCCCGCACGTGTAGCCAATTTTCAAGCCTAACACGTGGACAACACAACAAGGTGATGTGGAGCACATGTGGCCGTTGGGCTTCACACGTGTAGCCAATTTTCAAGCCTAACACGTGGACAACACAACAAGGTGATGTGGAGCACATGTGGCCGTTGGGCTTCACACGTGAGATAACCTGCTTTGATACCATGATGAAATTAGGGTTCTACCATAAAACCAATTGGCAATATAGGGAGTAGCTCAAGACCATATAAGCACATAGCAAACTTGTCCCCTCACCGATGTGGACAATTCTCAACATCCCTAACCTTGTGTTTCGACGAGGAATTCTTGACGTTGCATAGTTGAACTCATTAAAGCCCCATTCTCATCATCGAGGTCGATAAAAGAAATCAGCGAAGCACAAACAGATAGAACTTTGAAGATGAACTTATTTCCATTCAATAGTCAGGAACTATCAACGGCACTGAGCTGGAACAACCTGTTCTTCCTGAATATCTTGAGTCCTAAGGAACTTCATCTCCGTTTCTAAGGGCATGTTTAGTATTCTATTTAGAAACTTGGACTTGAAAATTTTTATTTGTTCAAAGAACATAGTTCTAACTACAATTCATAAGACTCATAAATTCATTTGGTATGAGAACTTGAAACTTATTTTTAGATCACTATCAAATATTCAAAGACAAAAAATGCAGGCTGGGAGGCAACTGTGAATCTTCAAAGCTTGAGAAGAAAAAAAAAAAACTCAGATTGCCAAACAGTTCAAGTGCCCACTATGCGCACTACCATTTCATGACTATAGCATGCAACGATGGAGTCGAATAGCAGCGAAATTGAACTATCTCGGGTTGAAGGGCGCTCGTGGCAGATATCGTCCTCTGAAATTTGTTTGAGTAACCAGTGAGAGAAGTGAGGGAGAGAGAAGGAGAGAAAAGAGAGAGGACAGGGTGAGAGAAAAGGCCGACGAATGGTTCTCATCTAAAAACTATAAATTCTCACATTTTCTGTTTTCAGCAAGTAAAACTTTTTCTTCAGTTAGTTTTAGTTGTCTTCTTGAGAAAAATATACCAAACAGAATTCTTCATGATCTTTCACATGGACATCAGGATATGGTTCTAGCAAGAAGATTATGAGATGGAAGGGAGGTGAAGCCGGTCATTGCTTTTGACCTCCGGACACATGGTGGCGTGGGACCGAAAGTGAGGTAAAACTAGTACCAAAATGCTATTTAACATTAGAGGTGAGCACAGTTCAGTTCGATGCGGTTTGGAAGCCAAAATCAAAATGAAATCAGCCGTTTGCTTCGATTCAGTGCGTTTTCAAAAGGTTTCAATTTGATTTTTAAGAAAATATATACAATTTAAAATTTACACATATGTATGCTTTATGTATAAGAGGGTCTCATTTCATTCGTCTTAATATGTATTATTCTTTGAGAAATTATCATGGGTCCAAGAATCAATGCATAACTGATGGTGGTTTTTAGTCCATTGTATGTCCAGCTAATGAATCGTGATCCTTTGTTAATTAGTAATTGCAGGGTACTTATGATGAAGACTTGTATGCGGAGATACTGAACGATGATATAATTAAAAACTAGATGAATGTTCGGTGCATGCTGCTCATATGATGCCGGTTGTTGCCAACAACTCAGAGGCTGAACGTCAATCTCGACAACATATGCAAGCCATTTTGTCGCAAGAAGCTCCTTTCCAAGGTACTGCAAACCTAAGAATCCATTTCAGAAAGAGAAAGGAAAAGTTTCGTGCAGAGTCACAGGAATCTTCCAACTCAGACAAGTCGCCAAAAGGCTTTAGTGAATAGGATGAACGATCGACATGTGTTATTATATATATTTTTTAGAAATTATCTTGGGGTCCAAGAATGAATATTTAATCAAATGTTTATTAATATTTACGGTGTGGTTCAGTATCGGTGTGTTTTCAAAAGTTAAAATCGAAATCAAACAGTCTTCTACACTTCGGTTTGGTTACAAAACCGAAACCATGTCAAAACTGACAAATCGAACCACTAAATACGATCCGATTTGGTTCGTGTTTCGTTTTCGTTTCCAAAGTGCCTATATGTAACATTGAGCTGTGCCAATTTGATTATGGGCCTTGTTGGGCCTATAACCAAGGTGGGCCCCTAGGGCTACAAAGGCAAAGAGGACAAGCAATAGACATGTTTCTTAATTTTCCACCCAGCCGAGTTTAATGTGGGGTTTTAAAACTTAAACACAAATTAATAAGAAATGGATGATCCCTTGTTTGATGAAAAAGTTGGAATTACCCATTTGACCCTTACAATTTCCAATCAGGAATCCTTGTTACATTGATACAACGTTCAAATAACAGGCCAAATTAAGGCGGCATTCCAAAAATTGAAATATTGGTCAAGACGTGACACCTTATCTCATTTGTATTGTTGTTACCTGTGAGCATCTAACTCAATTTATCAACAAACGCACTTGTGGATTCTTTTTATCATCCAGTCTTACCCAATTTTAGTCAATTTTTAGGTAGTATATGCTTCTGGATATTACATTTTTGGGAATATGACTGATATGGAATAATCGGGACGTGATTCTTAAGTTGTTTAGGTCTTTTTTTTTTTTTAAAAAAGGGGATAACTAGTGGCAACCCACAGTTATCCACCCCTTCCAAGAGGACGGAAAGGCTCACACAGACATTTCAGCCTCTTCCTGATCACAATTTTGGCTTCCACACTAGCAGCGGGTTTCAAACCCAAGACCTTCAGTTTTTAATTTAAAGGAAGCCTCACAATTCATCTTTTACCACTAGACCACCAACTCGTGGTTAAAATTTTCGGCTCGATACCTTGTAAAAATTAGGGTTGAAACAAATTTTCAACACATATGATTCATTCATTTATAAGAAAACTAATAAAAATGGCTTGAAAACTTTAAGTTTTAGCGATAAAGACAAAATAAAGGGTAAAGTGAATAGTACCAAGATTGACTTTTTAGTGTAAAAATGTGGTTTTTCATTAAAGTGAACAGTACCAAGAGTTTTCTTTAAAATTTCCTTTATTTATTGCTTGTGTGACAGGAAAACGGAAAAGAAAATGATACCCATTCCTTGCACTCTCATTTATAAAGGATTGTTTTTTTTTTTTTTTTTTTTTTTTTTTTGAAAACTGGCAAATAAACCAGGGCCGAAGCCACAGCACCACAGAAGCTCACCAAGAGCAAGCAACAAGGAAAACCAAACAGCAAGTTACGGAGAGGGCATAACACAACCGACCCAGCACCCAAGCCAAGGTCACCCCCTCCCCAACCAAAACCAAAATTAATGGGGACATGGTAAACCATCCTTGTTCAGAACATGGACAAGAGAAGATGGGGGGTGATTAACCCAAGTAACATCGCACATCTCCGGATTATGTCTCGACGCCAACGAGTGCGCCGCCGAATTGGCCGATCTCGGAACCCAAGACCAGCGACAGACCTGGAATTCTTCCCTAAGCCTCAACACCTTAGAAATAACGGGGAAAGCCTCCCAGCTGCCCCGCGTAGAACCCTGATCTAAACTAAGGATATTCTCCTTAGAATCAGACTCCACAATGATTTCCTCCAAACCCATCGCTTTGGCCACGCTACACCCGAGCAAAATCGCTGAAGCCTCCGCCACCACTACACTCGGCGCCCCAATCTGCTCCCGCCTAGCCGCCACGACATGCCCGTCATGATTCCTGATAACAACTCCAGCGAAGCCTCTCTTAGAATTAGCCTCCCAGCTCGCATCAACATTCACTTTCATGAAAGGATGGCACGGGGGAAACCAACGAGCAGGTTGACTAGAGCAGACCAAGCTCCTCTGGGGACTGCCCTCAGGAGCACCATTTGCCTCCATAAACCCGTTCACCGAGATCCCAATTGCCATAATGACCTGGTTTGGGGAAATGCGCTTATGCTCGTACACAAAACTACATCTGGATTTCCAGATTTGCCAGCAAGTTATCGCTACAATAGACAGAATCCTCTCAATGTCATCTTTTGAGCCCAAGTTAGACTCGGAGAAAGAAGTAACCCAAGCTGGAAGATTCGAAATATTAGCTCTACTCACCCGGTAATTCAACGGGCCCCCAAACCAAATCGGCTCAACCCATGGGCACAAAAGAAACATGTGTTCTAAAGATTCAACCTGATCCAAACAAATTGGACAAACCGGCGAGGGAGAACAGTAGCGTTTGAACAGAATCTCCATCGTTGCCAAAGCGCAGTTTAAGGCCCGCCACATAAAATTTCGAACCCTCGGGGTAGTCCTCAAATGCCACACACATCTCCAGACCCTTTTCGGGATTACAGATGAAGACGAGGAGGCACGATCATTCATGGGTCTCGAGCAAGCATTCTTCCAATGATACCCAGTTCTCACAGAGTACACCCCATTCCGCGTGGCAGGCCAAATGAACCTATCCTCCCGATACCCATCGCCAATGTGCGTATCCAGAATGGCCTCATAATCCACCGAAGAAATGAGAGGCTTAATGGCCTCAATATCCCACGATCCGGACCCTTCCTTAATCACTGTGCTCACCCTCATGTTCCTAGACACCCGCACGTCCCCAATGACCGAAGGTTTCCCACCCGGGATAGACGGCACCCATCTATCATGCCATAGCCTGACACTTCGACCGTTCATAATTTGCCAATGAGCACCTCTTAGCAGAATCTCCCTCCCAACCAAAAGACTAGACCAGCCCCAAGACGCTCTCCCCCCCAGTTTAGCATCTAGGAAAGAACAATGAGGAAAATACCGGGCCTTTAGAAGACGAGCCCAAAGCGAGTTTGGCTCGTGAATCAATCTCCAGCACTGTTTAGCCAACAGAGCATCGTTAAAATCTTGAAAATTTCGAAACCCCATACCTCCTTCCTGCTTCGGGTACCCCAAATGCCCACGGGCCACCCAGTGGAAAGTTACCTTAGGCTTAGGATAACAATAAACGTTTATGATTGAGAGGGGCATAAAGATTAAAAATAATTTTAAATTATAAAATCACAATTTGAGCTCCTTTTAGAGAAGCACACAACATTGGATTCTTTGAGAAGAAGAAAAACTCGCATTTGGAAGAAGAAAAAAAATTGATGTGTTCCGAACAAAAGCGTTTTTTTCCAAAAGTGTTTATTAGCAGAATTGATCTCCCAAACCCTAGAACAGCACAAACAATGCACATATTCACGCTGAAATTGCAGCGAATGCAGAGCAAGGAAAAAAATGAGCATTGTCCCAATGCCACTAGAACCACACGTATTATAATATGTCTTTGTCCCCCAGTTGGCAGAGTAAGACAGGCTCCCATGTGCTGCTGTGCGTATTGTTTGCTAAAATATGTTGATATCGAAAAACTCTTACGATTTTCGTAATAAGCAAAACGAGTCAACGGGTTAAATGCAACAAAAAACTGAAACTTCTACTAAACTAACCCCAATTAATTAATAATGATTTAACCATAACAACTTTGGACAACGTCGCCTCGTGTCGGAAGCTCAGCGATTCGCGTGATTTGTAGTCATCGACTCATCGAGGTAGAAGGCTGTGATTGTAAACGGAGCAGGACTTATAGTACGAGTATATTATTTGTGTAATATTTCGCGTCGTGTTAATTGCTCTCTTGATAATGTCATACATTTACCTTACAATATAAGTACATCGTTACTGTGACATCTCATGCCGCATAAATTGCTCAATAATGTCCCAGATTTACCTCAGTAACAACATTTTTACACGTTAATTTACCACCAAATGAACATTTTAACAGCTTCTAACTTATCCAAAGAGAGAGAAGTTTTGGACTCCTATAGACGACAATGTAGCAGAAATAGATTCCGCATCTAAACGAGGAAGAAAGAGTCTTGTACTCAAACGTCTAAACAGAAATGCACGTTCAGTTTTTGTCAGCTAAAAGTTTCCAAAACTCAAAAGTCATTAATTGTAGTTCAAATGGAGTTCCAAATCCAAAGCAGAAGTTCCAACCAAGAGAAACTGCCCAAAGAAACTTGGTAACTTATGTCATCCGGCATTTTCCAAAAACAGGTCGATAAGTCAATCTAAAATCCTTCGTTCCCTTTCGGGTAAACTGATGAACTAACATGGTTTAGTACGACTCAAATGACGGGGCTGTACGTGTCTTTGAACAATATCCTGACTTGGAGCACCTCAGGTTCCACATAACAGCTTTAAGCTTAAGGTAAGGAACCGAGCAAACCCAGCCGGTGTACAAGAAAGCAATCTGTCTCACAATCTAACTACCAAATGGAGGATTAAACCCATGCAAGCAATTTTCTTGCAGGAAATACCGAAAACTTATACGCCATAAGACTAACATACCTACACGGCAAATTTAACCCGTCCTGGTCCATTAAGGGTTGGTGGATCGGATCGCATTGAGAGCACAGAACAGGTCAGTCTTGTAGGTATTAATAAGGTTTAAGATAACTTAGTTTAATTACCGTGTAAATGCGAGATAGCAGCTTGGGCCAAATTTTCTAGCTTTAACCTAACTCACTAACTTATATGCCCACAAGGAATTGGTCTTAGTCAAATAACAGCCGAATTGTCATAACTATGGTGAGAAGATAAGATGACATCTTCAAAATGCATTGACAAACTGTTGTGTGCCGCCGTGAAAATTCTCCTATGCTCCGGTGCACGGCATACACCGAGCAAAGGTATGGTTGGATCTAACGGCCAAAACCCCGGTGCACGCTATACACTCACAGAGTTGAGTCTTTTTGTCTAACCATTTCAGGAAGAAGTCTCTACTCAAACATGAGTGCAACTCAGAGAAACCAAAATGTGATCAAAGTTATAATGTAATTTTCATCCACAGCGATCCCATTGAGACAAAAAGATAACGAATATGAATAAATAAGGAGTTCCTACACAAATACAAATAAAAAGGGAAAAATTCAGAAACAAAAGACAAGGCAACTGAGATTCTTCCTCTGCTAACATACATGATTTGGCAGCATAAGCAACACTTGCAGAATCTCAAATCCCTTAAACAATACTATATATTGCTAATCATAATAAAACAGAAATCTAGAACAACATACCGGAAACCCGAATTTCCTCCGCCTTCGAATTGGACCCATTTTACGCTCTTCCACCACCTACATTCCCATTTTGTTTTTATTATCATAATCCAGCTCAAATCAGAGAAGTCCCCGGATCAAATTAAAGGGCTCGGAAAAAATCATTTCTGGGATTCATTCCTCTTCCCGATTCCTTCCCCTTCCCTCTCCTCCAAGAGCCTGCTGGCCTCCTCGTCGGGCTGCGCGGCCTTCTTCTGCGCATCCTTGGCCTTCAGAGCCCGCAATTTAGAGTGGTTGTAGTAGGCAACCCCCAAAAACGCGAGGCCGTAGCCGAACAGATTGATCGGGGTCACGGTGTCCTTGATAACGGACCACGAAAAGGCGATCAGAAGCCAATCTTTCACCACTCCGGCAACATTCATCGTCAGCGCCGAGGTCTTTCCGACGAGCAAGAACACGGCGAGATTCAGAGCAAATGCGCAAACAGAATTGGTCCCAAAAATCACGAAATCGAAATGGAAGCTCGAGGAATCACGCAGAATCGGGTACTCGACGAAGATCCAGGGGACGAAGAGGAAAGCCAGACAGCAAGGAGCCACGTAGTAGAGAGATGTTATGGGGTTGAGGGTAATGCCTTTGGATGTGAGGAGGATCTGGATCAAGACAAGGCGGGTGGCCTCGAATGCGACGGCACCGAGCTGGAGCATGACGCCCCAGGTGTCGAATCGGGCCTCTCCGTAGGCGGCGATGGCGACGCCGATGGAAATGGAGATCATGTTGACCATGGTGTCAGTCTTGAAGGACTCCTTTTTGAAGGAGACGCCAATGGAGTAGACCGCGACGGGCATGAGGGCCTTGAGCATCTGGATGAAGGAGACGGAGAGGTAGATGTAGGCGGAGTTGGAAAGCCAGAGGGAGAGGGAGTAGAGGGCGCCGATGGGGACGACGGAGGAGAGGTAGAGGTCGCGGGACATGGTGACGGGCTCGACGAGGCGGAAGACGCGGACGAGGAGGAAGGCGAGGGAAGCGCAGAAGGACATGTGGATCATGGTGAGGGAGATGGGGAAGGGCCAGTTGTACATCTTCTTGTCGAGGATGTATTTGTTGTAGACGATGACGGTGAAGGAGAGGAAGATCCAGATGGCGACGTAGGTGTAGGAGAGGAGGATCTTTTTTATCACCCCCTCGCTCAGGGAGCCACCTTTTCCCATTTTGGAGGTGGGTTTTCGCCGGTGGTGGCGGTGGCGGTGGTGGGGGAGAAAGGGAGAGAAGTGAGGAGGAGGAGCAGGAGGAAGAAGTCAGATTCAAAGTGATAGAAGAAGGCAGTGAGAGCTGGATTTTGGTGAGAGAAACGGGGGTAATATAATAATTAAAAAATATTAAATTTGGGAGCGTATCTGGTGTGGAAGTTCCATTTTTTATTTGGTGTGGGAGGGGAGGTGGTATTTAGGAGATCCTGGATCTAAGACTAGAGATCAATAGATAGATTCGAATTATTGAAATTTGATTAAACGGTTACAATTATTATAATTTTTAGAGAGTTTCATATTTGTAATTGTTAAATCAAATTTCAATGATCCCGATCCCTAAGCTTAGATCCAGGGAGGATCTGTGTCCGTGGTATTTATTTAGGCTTTTGCAGGAACAGTCTGCATTTTTGTGCAATTATGCATTTGATTTTGAGGTAGTCACGATTTTTTTGGATTTGGATTTAATTTGTACTTTTATCGTGGGATGGGAGGGAGGGTGGGGATGACAACTTTGAAACGTATATATTATTGTCGGGCTTGCATTAACTTAAAAGACTATAGTGCTAATGCTTATGGGATTTTCTGTTCATATATTATTGTCACGTATTCATTAAAAATATGTCTAACAGTCTAGTTAAATGCGAGATTTTCATTGTTTTAACTAAAAATGCAGAAAAATAATCTCTGACAGGCTAGCTAATTGACTACCAATCTTAACTATGTGAATAATAATTAGCCAAATTTAGTTAGGAGGAGACTGTTAAATTTTTGCTAAACATTAGACTATAAGATTGTATTGTTTGTAGGCTTGAGAAGAAAAAAAAAAGTTTGGGTTGTTAAGTTTAGAAAAATAATATTAAAATATTTTAACTTAAACTAAAATAGTTAGTATTGTTGGATGCGATGACTAGCCATATTAATATTTGGGTCATGTGTTAGGTACAAAAACAAAAATTTAACTAGTATTGTTAGAGATATTCTAACTAAACATTAGATATTACCATAAAAAATAAAAATATAACTAACATAAGATATTATATTTGTTTTTAGTGATGAATCTTGTGATAAATACAAAATGAAACAAGAAAATATACATTTACCATGCCAATAATAGTTCGCTTAAAAATATACACATTTAATACTACAATATGATGAAATTTTTCTTCACTTATAAATAAGATGTCTCAAACTGAATTTCATAAATAGCGTATTCAATACAAATTTCTTTCACATTTTAGTGCAAATATATCGCTATATAAAATAAAATAAAAAAAGCAGAGTAAAATCACATAGTACTATAATTTAGTAATATTACTACTGCATTTATAGAGAGATCTTATGATTGAATCTGTAAATCCGAGTTTGATACTAATTTATCCACACTATCTCTTGATGTAAATATATAAATTTGAAAGAAAAAATCATCAGAAAATATAAAAACGTCACGATCAAAATTTCTCGTGCACACAATTAAATGCCTTCCCGAAAATGAAAAAACAAACAGCGGCGAGTGTGTGAAATGAATGATGAATTGAATTGAAATGTGAGTTTCAAGTCCGAAAGAAAGGGAGCATAGATTCTGATTCAAGGAAGTTGCTTTACGCGACCTTGTATTTTGTAAGTCGTTTGAATCCTCACGTGGGCTGCACCACGTGACCTCAGTATTCGGTATTCCTATTCAATTCAATACAAAACCGCAACCGTTTTTCTCTAATTTGGGTCTGTGGGCATTCGGGTACGGGCCTTCTTTTTCATTTTTTTCCTTTTTCCTCTTCATCAGGGTTGGGTTGTTGTCGGTGAGAAATTTCCAAACAAGGGGAGGGGATATGCCGTATTGGGAGGGTTCATTGCGTTTCTTCTTCCACCTGGCCCACATAAAATAATCATTGCACTTTTTTTTTTTTTTACATTGAAATGAAATCACATTATTTTAGCGAGAGAATAAAATTTATAAGCAGATTTAAATTACAGTATTATATCTGATTTATTGTGAAGTCTAGTCTATTCCTACATTTTTTAATGTAGGCAGTATTTTTGTGTCATAAAAAAATAAAATTACAATAGAACCTGTGCGGATCCTAAAACCATACATATCAAATGTTAGCATGAGAATAGTGCTAAAAGGAACATTGTTAAACCAAATATAAAAATGATCGTAAATATATTCTAAATTTACTAATCGATCAACTTGTAATATTTTATCTCCCTGTATATATGATTAATAGAAAATGAGGAATTTGATAAAGAAGATCTCACATGTCTTCTTAAACAGTCTTGATTCTCCTTGGTATTCGAAATTGATGTTGAATTGCCTGAATTACTAATTTCCCTAATGGCTAGTCGCCCACCAAAACCCATGTTCTTTCCCCAATTATTTCATTTGAAAACTCGAACTGGATTTTGACAGGTAACCAATTTGTGATGCGGAACGATCCCAAGCGCTTCTTGGTTGTTAAGTTCTTGTCAAATTAGGATTAATAGTCAGGCAAATGTGTGTGAATTATTTGTGTTTTTCCTCTGAGTATTGCTTTCTGATATAATTCATTAATTCTAATGAAACAACTATTGAATAAAAGAGCTTAATGCAGAAGCACGTTTAAAAATGCTGAGCTGCTAGGCTGTTGAACGTGTTATATCACTTACTATAAAGTTATATAAACCTAGGGCACTATGCATCGATGAAATAAAGGGAAAATTTGAAATAGGTCAAATTTTATAGACTACCTTTTGAAATAGGTCCAATTTTTAGTGACTTTTGACTTTTGAAATAGGTCCAATTTTTAGTTACTTTGGACCCATTTCAAAAAACCCCATGAATAAATTATTTGTAAAGGTTTATAAGAGGTTGAATTATGCCTCATATTGTCAATGAGTTTTATGGTGGAATCTCAATTGTCTCCATAATATTATAGCAGGTTGACATCCACGTGTGAAGCTCAACAGTCATACATGCTCCACGTCACCCAATTTGTGTTGTCCATGCTTTTGGCTTGAACACACGTGCGAGGGGGTATGTTAGAAGTGAAGGTAAAAAGAGTCCAACATTAATGAAAAAATAAACCTTGTAAAGGCTTATAAAAGGTTAAACTACTCTCTATATTGCTAATTAGCTTATAACTATTGCGTTTTTATAAGATTTTAGGGTAGAGATTTTCATAGAAACAACGTGAAATACTAGCAAGGCCTTTTCTAATTAAGAATCTTAATTATGGATTAAAGACTTAATTATCAAGATTTTGGAGTTATTTACACTAATATTGTTCAACTTAACCACTTGCACAACCCAACAAATGATGAGTTGTCAAGTTTCCAATATAGAAATTGGTGCCTTCTCGAGACTAATATGTAACCGACCGGTCAGCCAGCACTCAAACCGTCAAACAAGTCCAAAATTTTGGACAAATGAAAGTGAAGTCTACGTTTGGACAAATGAAAGTGAAGGCTACGCCAAGAAAGTTGCAAAGCTTAATTAATTATTGCTTTGGAAATGTGTGTTTGGAGACAAGAATCCTTTGCAAAGAATGTAACTTCATGAAGTGTCAATTATGTTAGAAGTAAAATGTTTCTTCCGTTCATATTTAGAAAAGAAATGGTAGTATCCTTGGGTTAGAATTTTGGGTTACAAGCTAAATATGGTATCGTATGAGAGTTGTTAGCTTAGACTTGTAACGATTGGGAAGATGTGAATATGTGAGGAGAATACACTTTATATGATTAAATTTTTTGAGTGCTAATAATAATTATAAAGATGTAAAGAAATGTCTTACATTAGGAAGTTCAAAAAATAATAGTATAATTACTTAATTGATTTTATAAAATAGCTCAAGGCTAATCAAATTACCATACTTTGTTGTTCTCTATTCTCATTCTTGTGTTTACTAACAATCAATGATTAGAAATAAATGAGTGATTCTCATTCATCTGTTTACTAACACCAAAAGAATGATAAAAATAATGCATCTAATCTCATTCCTTCTCATGGTAAGTAAACATTAAGAGCATCTCCAACATGTGCGACTTGGTTTGGATCATTCGGCCCCCATATTTGTTTGTGTGGGTTTTGAACAAGGACAAACTACCTTGCCCACCTAGTTAGTTCTTTTGTTGGTTGTAGGGGATGGCGTGGTCTTGCTTCGTGCCCTTCAATCTCCCTTAGGCCATCCCCAACCGAGCCGACCAAAGATCTATAGGCCAAAACATAACCCGTTTTGACACAAAACTCATCTCCAATGGAGGGCTGGACCCAAAAAATTTGGGACCCACCAAGCCAAAAATATAACCAAAAGGCCAGAGGGCTGGGCAAACATAGCCAGTCAGCCAACCCTAAAAGTTGGGGCTAGTTGTGATGCTAGTTGACGTCATATAGCCTTTTTTTTAAGACAAAATTAAAAAATTCTAACTTTTTCCAATAAATACCTAAGTCATTTCCACATCATTTCTCACATCCTTTTTACCATTCCATACTATCTTACCTCATTTTAATGTATAAGTTGTTAACATGCAAGTAAAATTAAAATATTTAATAACATGAAACTTAAAACAACATTTAACGATAAGTAGCCCTCAAAATATGTCTGGAAACTTTATCTTAATATGGAAGTTTAATTCAATAAACCGACAAAATTAAAGAACAAACTTAAAATAATAAATTATTGAGGGGGCTAAAAAATAACCCGTTTTGGTTGGAGATTGTATATAGATATGGCATGACACTGTTTATTAATGAATAGTGCCAAGCCATGTTTATTTGGTTGGAGATTGTATATAATCTGGATAGAGGCCCTTCAAGAAATTATTTTTTAATGAATAGTGCCAAGCCATGTTTATATACTATATCCAACCGAGCGAGCCAAAAGGTCATAGGCCAAAACATAATCTATTTTGACACAAAACCCATCTCCAACCAAATAGGGCTATTTTTTAGCCCCCTCAATAATTTATTATTTTAAACTTGTTCTTTAATTTATTAGTTAATTGAATTAAACTACCATATTAAAATAAGTTAAGATAGTATGAAATGATGAAAAGAATGTGAGAAATGACTT